CACGATCCGATGCCCGGCGACCCGCCCGGTGCGCGGCAAGCGCTGCAGTTGCCGCACTATTGTCGTGACGCCCACGGCGTGGCGCGCCCCCAGGCGCTGTGGAAAGCAAAGTTCCCCGATGTGCCGGAACCGCCTCCCAGCACTTGAGCGAGGACGAGGGCGAGAGACGGCACACCGACCGCACCTCCGCCACGGACTGCACAGCCCAGGCCGAAGCCACTCCTATGCAGTTTCCGCACGGCGCCGTACGACCAACGAGCCGCACTCAGACTTCTTCTCCGGCACCTCCAAAAGCACGACCGCACCGGGTCACAAAGGAAGCGTCCCAGTAAATATGACGATCCGACGGCATTCGCTCCGTTCCAGCGCACGCCCTGTGGATTAGTTGCCCAAAAGAAAGCGGGACCAGCGCCCCATTCACGCGGACACGCACGCTCCAGAACAGAACAGAAGCCGGCACCAGGGACCACAGCACACCATCGATGCCCTCTTGGGCCTTGGCCAGCCGCGCCCGGCACAGTCTCCACGACGGCAGGGTGTCAGGCCGCCGAGAAAGTGCAGTTTGCCTGACGATGGCGCCGAGATGGGAACACTACCGGTCGAATTTTGCCGTCCAGCATTTGGCTTTCGGCGCTGCGGCGATGACGAAACGACCCGCTACCGCACGGCATGCCACGGGCGTCGACCGGACGTTGTGAAAACCGGCCACGCGGTGCCACGCAATTACACGAATGCCCGTCAGTCACCCCACCGCGCGCCACCCGAATCCGGGACGGTGGGGGTGAAGGGGTTAGGGCGGCGGAGAAGCCGACAGCACGCCGCCGCGGTGGCTCGACGATCCGCAGCCAACGCTTTTTTGCCATTCCTCGTGTCTTCTCAAATAAGCCCCATGGTCCGCACGCTAGCCACCGTTGCAGTGCACGTCCGCCCTGCTGAGTGGAGATGTGGCGGAGAGCCCCGGTTTCCGCAGATGGCGCTGCAGCACGCGGCGTGTAACACAACCCCGTGACGCATCCGCCCGGCCTAGCGCACTCGCTCGATAATCAGTTGTTGCCGAGGATCAGTACAATGGCAAATCATTTAGCAACACCATCTATCAACAAGGAAAAGAGGAGAGAACATTCTTGCCACGGGCATCGGCGTCATGCAGCAGCTGCAACGGGCTTTGCGCCTTTCCGCCTCGAGGAGAAACCGCGCCGACTCCTTGGTGAAGCACAGATTCCCCACTTCCCTAGTGTCCACTCCACGTTTCTGATTGTCGCCTGCCGCTCCCACACTCTCTCCGCCCCTTTTTTCTTTTGCTTAGTCTCTCCGACCTAAAGCGACCATGGCGAAACCGAAACTGCCGACGATGAACCGGAAGCTAAAGCGGGTTGCCATGCTGCTGATTCTCTTCATTGCGGTCACGAATCTTCTGTCCCTCAGCTTTGACATCGCTGCCGATGATGGTGCACCAGAACCCAACAACCCCCGCCACCCGCGAGCCGCCGCAGTTGACGACGCGGCACTTGCTTACATCCCACGCAGTGTTGTGGACACGTGGAGCCGGCGCGAGTATCTGATTGTGCTGGGCATCCCCTCCACGGACGTCGAAGAGAGGCGAACACAACGCAACCTGCAGCGGACGACGTGCTGGCGTTTCCCCGGAGTGGCGACGAGGGCGAACGACTTCACCGGTGCGATGCTCGTGCTGTACGTCCTTGGGCGACACCCGTCGCACGGCTACGAATACTCTGCCGCGCTTCCGGAGGAGGCGTCGCAGTGGAACGACGTGGTCGCGCTGCCAATGAACGAGGGACGTGTGACGACGAACAAAACAATTGGTTCCTACGGCCGTCTGGGCGATGAGGCGGATGTGGGTGTTACCCGCAAGACGTACATGTGGTTTGACCTTGCGCTTCGCCTGTTCCCGACCGCGAGGTACATTGCGAAGGGCGATGAAGATATTTTCCTCCGTGTGCCGCTGTTTGTTGCTCACCTGCGCCTCCTGCCGCGCCGAGGGATCTACATGGGGGTCCATATTGGTACCTCTAATTTTGCCGATAAGGGCTTACCGGGCAGCACATTTATGGTTGGCTGGTGCTACACCTTGTCGAGGGATGTGGCGGAGGCGTTGGTGTCTTACGAACCGCTGCGGCGCCTGGCATACCTGCCGTACAGCAAGGAACGTGATCACGAGTTTGCACTGCTCCGGTTTCACTACGAGGACAACATGGTCGGTTGGGTACTTGAGAAGGAAGTGAAGTACAAGCCGATGGTATACGTCAAGGTGCTGGGTTGTCACTTCCATGACGCCCGCAATGGCACGGGGCACTGGCAGGTGGTGTCGACCTCAATGTGTGTCCATCACGTGCTGAGGGACGACTACGCAGCACTGATGGCGCGCTTCGGCAACGACACATCGCCTGTCGCCCGTGTGGAACGAGCCTCCGACGACACGATATACCCGCTGTGCGATTGACAAATGAAAGAAATGATTTCTTTTCTGTGCTTGTTGAATCCTAATGTATTGCTTGATTGGTTGCTGCATTCCGGTTTGTGCCCTATGTGCTCTGTGGCCGAACGACGTGGAATGTGTCATTGACTGCCCCGTGCCCCCGTGGAGCGTGTCACTCCCTGCCCTTGACCCGCGTGCGGGAGGTGGTTGTGGAGCCAGTGGGCGCCCGTTGCGTTGTGCTGCGGGTGCGCTTCTGCTGGGGACACGTGATGAGAATGTGTGTGTGTGTGCTGGGCCACCAATGAACGATGTATGTGAGTCTGTGTTTTTTATACATTTTATTCTGTTAATTGTGCGATTGGGAAGTGGAGGGATTCAGCGCGTTTTTTTTTTGTTTTTTTTTTTTGTGTGTGTGTGTGCGTTGCTTTTTTCGGCCCCCCCACTCCAGAGCCCTCACCTCGCGGTGGGTGCCTGCGGTTGGGAGCCGCTGGGAATGTATTCTTGTGAGTTCGTGTGATTTATTTGTGAACGGAGTGTCCCACTGTGCGACTGCCGTCAGTGCCGGTGGTGTGGCTCCCGGTGTGTGGAGAGTGTGTGCCGTGACGCTCGCCGCGCCGCCGATGCGCCCAGTGGGCGAGACAACTCCAATGGTACATGGCCCCTGCTTGTTGACGACGCGGCTGTTCTTTTTTTTTCTCCTGCTTGTGTTCTCTTTTAGAAGGCTGCACAGTGTAGGGGCGGCGAGGGCGGACGGGAAGCAGACGATGGGTGGACTCGCTAGCGGGCGGCGTGCTAAGCGGCGCGCCGGTTGTTTGTGGAACACCGCCGGCCTCACTCCGGCGAAACTTATAGCGCGGAGCATGAAGTGATATGACGAGAACGTGTTTTTTTGTGTGATGGGCGGGACAAAGATGTCCCCCACCCTGAAGCCACTAGTTTCAGCCTGCCGGGGTCCAGCACCACGGGACCGCTCGCAACTGTCGTGGCGGCGGTGTGCCCATTCTCGTCCGTGAGGGGCCACAGGCGGTAGCAGGACCGGCCTCCATCGCTGGAATCGAGCTGGCGCAGGCGACCATCCGTCCAGCGGCGGGAAGTAACATGATGGCGTCATCAGCATGCCTCCTTTCTGTGCAAAGAGCACGACGGCGGAGGAATTGGATGGGCAGCTCTGCGCGGACGGGCCACAGCTAATGGGCGCAGACGTCGAGGCACACACGGAGGCTTGGGACCGCAACATCCCATCAGACTCCCGTGGCGATACCATTGCGCGGCGGTGCATTGAGAATGTACTCCAGGTCGTCAACAGCGGAGAGCGCACGAGGTACACCAAGCGACAGGGCAGCACAGCACCCGACACCGCCCTTTCGAAGGACTGTGTAGTCACCCATTGCCAGAACTGCTCTCACTGGACAGCGATCACTGCATCATCCTCCTTGTTTTCCGATCGGGGACGACGACACACTCACCGTGGTGCTGGGGCCTAACCGGAAATTATTAGCATGGAAGAAGGCGGATTGGAATAAGCCCAGCGAGGTATTCAGCCAGCTCCGCAGAAACACATGTGAATTAACCAAAATGGACAGCACAGAAAAGCGCGTTGCAATAGGAATGCGGAGAGCCACCAAGGCAACGGTCCCGGCATGGAATCAGCAGCCGTCCCCATTCTGGAACTCATGGCTGGCGAAATTTTACCGCACCATTGCCACCGCATCTGACGCAGAAGGCAGTCAGCGGCTGGACCTCCGTCGCAGAGAAGCGCTGCGCGAAGCATCCAAAAGCCGCTGGCGCACGCTCCGCTCCGAGCTCGAAAGCACCGACGGCAACAGCCGGCAGGTAGTACGCCGTGTGTGCGCCTCCCGTTCCTCGAGCACGCCAGCCGGGAAATTCGATGGCCCAATGCTCAGCAGACACCCGAAGGTCAGCCACCTCATGAAGCTGTAGGCGGCGAAAGCAACACGGCGCCCAAAGCCCCACCCTCCGCCACCGATCCCGACGAATGCGATGGACCTCACCCAATAAGTATGGCAGAGCCCGGCCGCACCCTACGGCTGTTGCTCTTGGGACCGGCGCCTGGCCCCGACGGAATACATGGAGAGGCACTGCGCCATCTAGGCCGTGTGGCGAGGCGTGCCAGCCCCCTGGCTGTTCGATATCCGTCTACTTGCAGGGGCCGTCCCGCGGAATCGGCGACGTGTGGTTGTGCTACTCCTGCCCAATCCGGAGAGAACGGCATCCAACCGCGACTCCCACCGACCTGTAACGCTGAGCAGCTGCCTCAGCAAGCTCATGGAACGCACTCCCGCCGCACGCATCCGAAACGTCATCGAGTCCCAGTCGACTCTGCAGCCATCTGGCTTTTTGCCGGGCAATTCCACCCCCGACCAATTGCTGCACCTCAGGGCTGCCATGCATCGCAATGCTCC